ATGAAGAAAATCAGAGTCACGTGAGTTGCATCCTACAGAAGATGATAGATGAGTTTGTGAAAAAGACAGACACTAAATAATATCCATGCTTGTAGGTTTCAGACACATCTCTGCTATGATCTGATATTTATACCGATTTTGCTGTAAAAAGTCTCACCGAATGCTCTCAGTTACTTCAAGTTATACATGTATTCAGCCTAATTTCTCATCTGCTGTCTCAATACTGGGGCCTGTCCTGTCGAGTTTTTGATTTACAAATAAAATATTCTCTCTGTCCTCTTTGGGAGATTTTAATCAGAACATTCAGCCCCAAACAGAGCAACATTTCAAAATCAAAAGGGAAGAACTGTGCTCTTTTTGCAAGCAAGATAAAGACACATACAATTAAGTCAGGACTTTGTGTGTATATGTGTGTGTGTTTGTGTGTGTGTGTGTGTTTAAGAATAATCAAACCAATATGAAAGAGTCAACTACTAGAGCATACTAGAGCAGTTACAGAAAATAAAAGGTAACTGATGGTGTTTTTTGAAGACAAGGGAGAAAGGAAGAGAAGGGAGAGGGAGGACTGGCAGTTTTTGGAGACTTTGGGAGTGCCTCACTCTCTGTGCCTTGTGTATATAAAGCAAAGGGTTGTTACTTCCATTTTACAGATAAAGAAAATCCGAGTTAAAGAAAGTTTAACTTGGCAGTCCTCATGCACATGGAAGGAGGCAGAATGCTGTTGGCTTCTGTCTCTAAGCTCACACTCCTTCCTGTGACAGTGCCCCCAACACTGTATCTCTAAGGTGACACCAGTCATGTCATACACACTGCATTCAGAGTTTCCCAGGTGTAGAGCCCAGAGGCAAGAAAGCCAGTCTACTGACCAGATCTTCATTGTTCATACACATTCCCTAACATCCTAAACCTGTGAACCTCTCAGGTGTCATTTCATCTACTCTTTACATTCACTAAGAGGCAGGGAATGGTACGCCCCTTTACAAAGGAGGAATGTGGGGTCTAGAGAGATCCCAGATTGCATCTGAGCTCTGAGAGTCTCTACCAGATTCAAGTACTTCTGAAATGAGCACCGGCCTTCCCCACATGGCCTTGATTCAATACCTCAAGAAATGGAGTTTCATGCCTTTGGGCGCTTCATCATCTGATAGTAGACAAGCCAGTCTGCATTCATGATTATACTACTAGAAAGAGCTAGTACCTTTAGTCCTTATGTCATAGCTGACGTCTCTGAAAATGGAGTAATCTGCACCAAAGATAAAGCTACCAAGCCATGATGCGTATTCACTAATTGACGTGTCCATTTCCAACACTGTCTGCGGGTGTGGGAACTGGCCTCCCGCACTACAGCCACAGCTGCCTGTCAAGAATGTATAAACTTTGAATACATGAACTATAAAACCTTTTTTGTACCTGTGGAGGTGGGAGAAGAGCAGCAGAATATCTTCACATAAGTGACTTCCAAGGTAAGGGAGAATTAGCACTTAGAAACCACCGAGGAGGCATGCGCTGTACATTCAAGTCTATCTGCCTTCCTTGCTGCTCTTCCTGCACTGGTAAGGTCTCTGGATGCTGGGAATAGCCAGCATCCTCTGATACCCCCAGGCTGCTTGTTTGAGAGACAGTCTCACTGTGTAGACTAAACTAGTCAGAACGGTGGTTCATCTGCCTCAGCCTCCTGAGTAATGGGTCACAGGTGTGCATCAAAACAGTTATGACAGCACGGGTTAAGGAGACTTCTCTACAGAGTCACAAGTCCATGTACCTCTCACACAGTAAAAGTAGGCATCTGTAATCAAAGTATTACTAACCTATCTTCTATCATGGGGACAGAAACCAACAACCAACCATCCATGGATTTCTGGGTTTCTTTTACAGGGTGTATGTGCCCTATTGGTTTCTAAAAGGATCTTTCAAGAAAAGTCAACTTCATTTTTTTGGAAAGGCAAATTATGAACCAGTCTAGAGGTTACTATGAGCATGAGAGGATCATAGTGCTACCTGGGCAATTAAACTCCTCCAGAGGCTAATTACCACACTCAGGACTCTCCAAATGAATTGGCACCTACAAAAGTACGCATACAGTGGAGAACTCTAGTCCGCACTACCAAGAGTTATTTTTTGCAGGACTATTAGTTATAATTATTAGCTGTATTAGTTAATATATAGTTAGTATGACTTAATATTAGTTATACTAGTCCTTCCATGATCAATTAAAATATAAATGGTTATATTCAAACTCTCCTGTGATGTCACACAAAATAAAAACACCATGACTCTAACATATACAAATTAAAGGATGAGGGCAAGAGAATGATTTGAAGAGGAAGAAGAGAGAGGGAGGAAGAGGTGAAGCAGAGATGGGGAGAGTAGAGAGAGAAAGAAGAAAGAGGAGAGAAAGACACAACTGGCTTGTGAGTCTCAGCAGATTCTTGAGGACAGTGTATCACAGAACTTGGATGGCAATCAGATGACCCAGAGCCCTTAAGTTCTCAATTGTGGAAACTTCAGACAGTCAACCTCTTGCCTGTCCCTGGATCCCTGATGGGGTCTGGAGTAGATAATTCCCTTCTTGATCTACAGTGTCCTCACTCTCCTCTAGGCGACAGTGTCCTACCTGGGTCTCACTAAAACTTCCCATAGTCTTCCCTTGTCCCTGCTGCCCTGCTCTAGGTTGACTCTGTAATCACCTTGTCAATAGGCTAATAGCTGTCTGTTCCACACAGGGAAAAGTATGGGATTCTTACTGTATCGATCTGCTGCTTTTCTCTTTGACTTTCCATCATCTCATCTTCTGTCCCTGATCCGTGTTGATACTCTCCTCTATTTTCTGTTTCTTGGACAGAAATCTCTGACCCAAGCCATCAAATGTCACCTCTTTAAATAGGGCTTCCTACTCAGCCCATCCCCCATGCATCCTTGTATTCCCTTGGTATCTTTTTAGTGGCTGCTCCCTTTGATGATTACATAGCTAATCATTCTTGCCCTCAGTCTGTAGGGAGACTGGGTAGTGCCAAGTCTCCGGCAGAGACAAGGCTGCATTTCAGTTGCCCAGGACTGCTGATTTTTTTTTTTACCGTAGGAATGAGATGAAGTTTAAAGCTGAGGGTTCTAAGACCTCAATAACTACATTAAGTTTCCTCAACCCTTACTCATTGTCAATTACTAGACCAAGGAGCTCACATACACTGTAATCATGCAACAACTTGGTGACATTAGTTTCTATGATACCTTACCTCTGGTTGATTTTACATCATACTGAGTAATTAGACTCTAGACCCCAAGCTCTGTCACTTCAATGCACCACCCTGTTACTCCAAACTTAGCTAAGTCTCTGAAGAGTCCAGAAGCACCAAGGATGAGCATGGGAAGCAAAGCCTACTGACCCCAAACAACCTTAAATCACTTCTCTCCGGCACATCATCATCCCTGCTCTGTGCCATACCCTCTCTCCCTAGGATGCCATGGACTCCACCTAATGGAGTGCTGTCTTCTTTCCTCCTTCTGGGAGGTACCATGGTTAGATACCTCATAACACAGCCCCTTTCCAGGGCTCCTGGGCTCCCTCTGGAAAGTAGAGAAACACACAAAACAACATTTGCAACACCAATCTAGAGCAGTTGGAATTTCAGCCCATTAATAGGATTTGGGGGAAAGAATTATTGTAATTATTTTTGCTTATCTTTATTGGATAAAGGTGGTGTTTTGAACAGATAATCACACGGTTATGCTGTAATAGCAACATTCTTTTATGCATGGGACTTGGAGTTCTGAAAAAGACTTTGCTATAGAATATAAGGTTTGATACTAACAGTGTCCCTGTAAGGTATAAGTGCTATGCATGCTCTGTAATACTTCAGGGGAAGGAAACAGAAGTCGAGGGTGATTAATTACATAGCATGATGAAAGCTTTAGACTACCTACACAAGGCAGAACACTTAAATGCCCATTGTTCCTTACATACCTCCTTCATGGTGAACAAATAAAGGAGGACTCCAAAGAGGTTCCTGTATGAGATTGGAGAGCTGCGTGTGTGCAGTATGTGTGTATTTGTTTAGGGGTATGCAGGTATATGTGTAGAGTGTTCAAATGTCTCTAGGCATGTAGATGTATATGCAGATATGTAGGTATACAGTTGTGTATAAACGTGTCTAGGCATGTAGGCGTGTGTGTGTGTGTGTGTGTGTGTGTGTGTGTGTGTGTAGGTGTGGTACATGTGAGCAAGTATTAGGGATAAAAGGAACATGTCAAAAGCGTGCACATTATCAGCTCTGAAATGCCTTCATATCTGAGCATCATCTTCCATTCCATATCACACTGCCACACTTCAGTCATGGTGCTATAAAACTCTTTCAAGGTTCCCAGTAAAGATCCTGGAAATGTAAAAGATCCACAGAGATCTCTCATTTCTGTTTTCTCATCTGTTGCCTTATACTGTCTTTTAATCACCCTCTTCCCTCAGAAGCAATGCTCCTAGACTTTCCATTGCGACTGCCCCTGTCTTAATCAATTATGGATGTGGGTTTTACAGTTTTAGGACCAGTCATCTTGGGCTTTGAATCAAGATACACTTCTCATCCTCAGCCCTCTCCCCAGGAAGAAACGAGGTGAGCAGCACCCTCCCAAATGACATGCCTCAGTCTAACTGTAATGTAGCTACTTTCTTTCCCTCTCTGTACGCGTCAGGAGCCGAGGCCCGAGGGGCTCTGCTCCAAAATGTTCTTCTCTGATTACTGATAGCAGTCCGAAGTCCAGGCAGAGATGTGCAGGCACCTGCCTGTCCTTAACAGGCTAAGTGCTCTCTGCAAGCCCTGCTGGGCTCGCAGCAGTGCTTGGATAAGGCTTCACTGGAAACCTCTGAGTTCAGAATCAATCAGGCCAGGAGGAGCATGTGCCTTGGAAACCCACTGCTTAGATGTGTTAAGGTTCTTGCTTGTGGTGAAGGTTAGGGAAGTTTAGTGAAAGTCAATTTTAATGAGGGCTGCTTCTCTCTGTGCGCTTACCTCCAGAAAATGTTCCGCCTGCTGCTCTCGATCCAATTTCCTTGAAGTCGTGGTAATCAGACCTGTGTAGAAATGAGAATATTTGACTTTTAAATATCTGGGGCAAGTAGCTCATTGAATATGGCAAAAAGACCAGTTAAAGGGAAAGCAAAAATGATGGAGAATAGCACCCCTCCACTTCCCAGGGATGCTCAGACTTTTTCTTAAAGCAAAATCAAATATACTAAGAAACTGTGGGACACGACCTCAGTGCTGCTTAACGCAGAAGAACCATTGCTGTCCAGGAAGAGTGCAAAAAATCCTAAGAAACATTGTTTTTCTAATATGAGGCAGCTCAGAGATTCATTTATCTACGACTGTAGTTCTTTAAGAGTCGAATCAAAGGTTCTTAAGTTGTTAGTAGGTAGTTGACATTGATTAGAGTCCATCTATGAGAGATCACTTTTTTCCTTATTTAATTTTATATGCTTACATAATTTTGACTATACATTCCAAGGAGGCAATTTCTGCAATAGCTACACTTGTACACATAATTGTCCCAAATTAAGTAACTCTCACAACAAACAGCTCACTATAATTTTATCATTCTGTTTTACACATTTGGATCTTTATACTGAGATCCCAAGTGGAAGGATCGATGTCTTCTCCCAATGTCTCTAAAGACAAAGGAAATGAGAAGACAGACCTCTTGGTTCATTGCACAAGTTTGTCTTTTGCTCAGTTTATTATTCTTCTTGTGAAGTGGCAATTAGGAATCCAAACTTATTTTCTATTTCTCTGCTATAATATCTCTGAAGAAAACATCAGTGGTTTCATGGTGAATGCCGATTAATAAGGAGAGCAAAGCAAAACAAAACAAAACAAACAAACCAAACTACACACGGGGAAGGTTTTTGGGGTCTACAGGGAAGTTCTTGACCTCAGGCTGCTGAGCTGTAGATGGATGGATGGGAGGACATGGGTTCTAGAGAAACAAGCGGCCATAGGAAATGCTGCCTTGGTGACGTCTAAAATAATATCTCAGTTAGAGTACCACAGCCCTCTACAAGCTGGGACACTCCCGTCACCCTGGCATGCTGAAGCAGAACACAACCTATGCTTGATTTACACCCAGAACTCATTTGTATGGCTCACCCTAGATTTTTCTTTTCTTTCTTTCTTTCTTTTTTTTTTTGCTGTTGGTTGACTATAATAATATATTTTAATGGAGTCCAGGGTGATGTGATGATTCATAAATGACATGTGGGAAGTTTACTAAATGAACTTACATAGCAATCATATAAAGTACTTATTTTGTGCTGAGAACACTTGAAATTCACATTCTTAGCAAATTTGCTAGTGTGTAACGCACTATTTTCAACTAGTTGTACCCACAGGCTTTTCAGATTTGACTCAGGTGTTTGCTGGTCTGGTATGCCACATGCCAACAGTACCCTCCCCCTGTCTTCATTACAAGTCTTTGTTCTCAAGTCTGTGATTTTCCAGTGGACACATGGACGCGCCGTGACGGAAAGGCCCTGCCATTTGCTTCCAATGCATTTACCCATCTTGCTGCTTACCTGGAATAACAGAGAGGACTCCACTACTGCCTTTGGATTTGCTTTGTATGTGGAGCAGGGCACCTACAGAACTGTCCCAGTAGTGCTGAGAGGTAGGGTCAATGACTCCCTTTCCTCTTCCCCATTGCAATACTCCATGAAAGTTCAAGAACATGGATTTATCACTCCACTTCATCTCTTGTTTCCTGTGTGACTGCCTGGGCATGAGGACCTCGGATGACCTCATCATCTAAGAACAAGGAGCCATCCAATTTGACTCTTCTCTGCTGGATCTCAATAACACTTTTCATTGACAGTCATCTTTCTGCCTGCTCAGCCACATCATAGAAGCTTCTGGAACAGGAAAGGGGGAAAAAAAAAGGCTGGCCCTGGGTTGGAATTGGCCAAGGGTCTGTGTGGTCTAACTAACTCACACTCTTCAGTTCTGGACCTATCTGACAAGGTCAAATGTCATGGGGGCTCTTCTGAAGTAAATGAGAGCAGTTTTCATGCAGAGTGAGAGAGGCTTTCTTCCAGCTTCCTCAGAGGGAGACCTATGTTAGAGGACACAATGGGAATGCGACACACACACTTGCTGTAAGAAGGCTATAAACATGCGGTGGATGGAGGAAGAATTCTGCTTTGTACAGCACCATCTGTGGCTCTTTCACAGAAAACAAAACAAAACAAAAAAAGAGCAGGTGCCACTGGCTTCTGCTGAACTGAACGTCACCAGGACATCCTCAGCCTCGGCTCAGTCAACAAGAACTCGCAGGGCAGCAGGTAGCTTTCTCTCTGAGAATGTTAGGGGAAGTCTTCAGTAAATTTGCATATTTTTTACAATGCTCACATGGGTCTGAGAGAGCAGCCGGGTGTCTCCCATCTGCATCCTTCATGAGTGAGTTTATCAGCTCACAGAGGAGGAGACTTGAAATACTTTACTCAGCAGTGAGCTGGAGCTGGGAAGTCAAGCAGTTACTGCTCCTGGAAGGAAGCTGTAGGAAAATCCTGGCACACCACAGTACTCTGGGCTTCCACGCCCCCCACCCCTGTGTGTTCTCAGATGCAAAACAAGGGACAGAAGGAGTAGAAATAACTGGACAAGCCAATGAGGCTGGGTGGGGATAGTGAGAGTCTACCTACCTGTAGGTATATGGTTTATTTTGACAGCAATGACAGTACTCTACATATTATTAAGGTGATGTTTCTATAGTTTGTAGTATACTCTGAAAACTGCTGGATTGCATACTTTTGTGGGGAGATGTTATTTTGTATGAGTTATGTATAAACAAAGTGATCAAAAATCTGTGGGAAATGGTAAACTTTGCCTTTAAGGTTTTAATAAATCTTCATATTTTGAAGTAAGGATTCATTTTTTTTATTTAAGTTAGAAACAATCTTGTTTTACATGCCAATCCCAGTTCCCTCTCCCTCCCCTCCTCCCCTGCCCCCTATCAACCCCTTTTCCATCCCCTTTCTGTTCCCCAGAGAGGGTGAGGCCTTCCATGGGGGATCTTCAAAGTCTGTCACATCACTTGGAGCAGGGACTAGGCCCTCCCCCATGTGTCTAGGTTGAGAGAGTATCCCTCTAGGTGGAATGGGCTCCCAAGAACATTCGTACACTAGGGATAAATACTGATCCACTACCACAGGCCACATAGACTGCCCAGACCTCCTAACTGACATCCACATTCAGGGGGTCTGGGTCGGTCCTATGCTGGTTTCCCAGCTGTCAGTCTGGGGTCCGTGGGCTCCCCCTTGATCAGGCCAGTTGTTTCTGTGGGTTTCACCAGCCAGGTCTTGACCCCGGTGCCCATCACTCCTCCCTCTCTGCAACTGGATTCCAGGAGTTCAGTTCAGTGTTTAGCTGTGAGTGTCTGTCTCTACTTCCATTGGCTACTGGATGAAGGCTGTAGGATGGCATGTAAGTTAGTCATCAGTCTCATTATAGGGACAAAGCATTTAAGGTAGCCTCTCCACTATTGATTGATTCTTAGTTTGGGTTATCCTTGTAGAAGTGAGGATTCTTAATGAATGAATGAATGAGCTTAGCATTCAGTGTTAAGTTGGGTTTTAATGAATGAACAGAGTTACCAGGTTTGTCTATAGGAATCTAGAACCAAGAAATAGTGAACTTTGGGGACAGGCAGTGCTAGAGTGATAATTCAGGGTTATTTGCATTGGAAATCAGCCTTGTTATGTGTTCAGTTCTGAGAAAACCCAGAAAGGGTAACATGCATGGGATGAAGAGCAAGATCTCGGAAGCTTGGCTGTTGTCTATGGTCAGGAAGGAACTCAGGGAGTCACCACTCACAGATGGAGAAATTTGCCAAAAAGACCAGCTTCATTTCCACAGTTGTGTTGTACACAGATGCACCGGGCCTTAAAATGGAGCAAGGCTCCCTTTGACCACACTGACTCCCTCATGAGGAAGGGGATCCCCTTCTGAAACCTGTGTAGGAGATAGGTGTGGACACGGCATACGACATGTAGACACATGGGTTACCTACACTTGGAGACTTAATGATGAAATGGAATTTCCAAAATAAACCAGAGGCCCACTTTGGAGTGTGATTGGGCTATAAAGACAACCACATAATTTCATGATTCCTTGTGCAAACTTTTAATTAGGAGAGGGAAAGATGAGAACCGTAGATAAATGATATTTAGTAAGGTGGTAAATGACAGGAACAGGGCAATTGCTTAAAAAAAAAAGCTGTCTCGACTTTGTCATTGAGGGGGCAGGAGACTCTAACAAACTCTTAGACGCAGACTTAAACAATGTGGCTGCCTATTTAAAAGGACTGATGATGCTCTAAGTAGCTTGGTCAGAGGGATGACACATATAAGAATGTGCCATGCCCTATCCCCCGCCCCAGCCTCTCTCCCTGTGGGTGTCTTGGGTCACAGCTGTGTAAAGTCTAACAGGACATTCACATTTATGTTGAAAGAGTGCAGGTCTTGGCTGGCTCAGCATAGTTCCCCTTAGAGGGCAGGATGCCGGGCTTGCTGTGAAAACATCTAACTAGAATTAGTGCTACCCTTACAACATTTTGTGTTTCGCAGCTAATTTCCTATGTCCGTGCCCAGCACTCTGAACTCTTCCGCACATATTTCTTTTCCTGTGCAATCTTCATGGTCCTTTCCTCCTACACATAGCTACAGGAAGCTTATTTCTGGATCCCTCTTGAGACTGCAGTCCAAGAAACCAGAGACCTAAGGTGATTCTCCCAGCCCAAGTACCCAGGTCAAGTGCTTATCTCATTTGCTGGATGCATAAATGCTGTTCTAAGGGCACCCAGAGTGTTTCTGTTGGAGTTTTCTATAATAGGACACAAGCAAAGGGACAGTGAATGGCTATTATTCACCCGGCACTCTTGATGCTTAATAAAGAAATTGTGCAATGTCTTTAGATGAAATTGTTCCGAGGGGGGATGAGAGTAAAGCAAGTTGGTCTTCCAGAATACTTAGTGCTGTTGTTTCATTCAACGCGGTCTCAACAACACACGGGGATTGAAGTACCT